AAGGCAAGTATTATGCTACCCAGATCAGACTAAATAAGCTAAATTCTAAATTCAGCTTTAAGAATTCCTTCAATTTTATTTAGCAGAATGTATTAGTAAACTAAATAGTAAACTAATTACATAAAATTACATGAAAACTACAAATGAAACAAAAAATGAAATTGCTACTTTTTAATGATTTCTCAGATAAGCATACAGCTACTCTGGACACTGTTGTTCAATTAAGATGCTTCACAGTCTGAACTTCACATTCGTATCTTGACATTTGCACACGCATAAAGAAGCAGTCCTTACTAATCTTAAGGTAAGATTGATGCTAAACTGATGATAAGGAGAGAAAAAAAACAAACCAAAAACTGGGGCGGGGGGGGGGAAGAAAAGGTAATTATCCATGAAGTTCCATGGAGTAAAACTGATCGAGGCTGAATGCTATGCAAAAAATGCTAAAAAAAAAAAAAAAAAAAAATCCAAAAGAAGTTCTACAAATCTTCTACAGGCACAAATGCAGTAGAATGAAGCAAGAAGATCTCACATCCCTGTTGCAAAGGGAAAAAAAAAAAAGTAGGACAGAGAAAAGGAACATTGTGGTCCAGAAAAGTATTTCAGTATTAGAATATCTTGTGAAAACATTAAGCAAAATTGAATGATTCACACTCATAAGAGCTGGTAGCAGGAAGAAAAATGGAAAGACAGAAGGAAAGTGGCTCTCTATATTAGTATGGAACAACTTCTATACTCTTCTCTGTCAACACCATGTCTTGGTCTCATTGCTGCCCACTGAGAACAATGCGGTAACTGATCTAAGAAGCAAGATGCTAAGAACAAGGTTTTTAACTCTAAGTAGGATTATAAGAGGTAAAATGAATTTTAAACCATAGATGATCTGAATGATTTTTGTCTGAAAGAATTGGGGTTTTTTTAAGGCAACATGTTAATCACCTATCAGAAACATTTGAGCAATTTGACTCTAACAGTAGAGTTTATTTTAACCAAGAAACTCAACCCTCTCACCTCAACTTTATCTTCATGTAACAGATATTAAGGATTTTTTTTTTTACCCCCTGCAGAACTGATTAGGAAAGGACAGAAGCACATACTCAAGTCCCACTAACCTGCCCAAGATGTAAACATAGGACATTTCATTAACACTAATGCATGATGGAACAAGGACAAATATCTGAGCCACATGCACAACTGGCTCTGAAGCCAAAAGCTCTAATGCCAACTTAAACCAGTGCCATGTGTGAGACAGGGCTTATCAGACCAGGTATAGCACCACAAAAATGTGGTAATATTGATTTTGGAAGCAGCCTAGTATCTGTTTCTTGCTGCATGTTCCATTGCAGAGAGAATAGTCACATATATGAGTTTAGCAAGACTTGAACGTATGGTTCAAGTTAAGCACCCACTTGGTGTAGCAGGGCAGCTAGTTCCAGGAGGGATCTTCAAAGTTTACTTAACAAATGTCACAGTAAACACCAGGAGACTAATATTTTATCAGTAAATATGACCAAGCAACTAATATCTCTGCAGCAGTCTAACAGTGTAGGCCTCTCTCTGTTATATTCTACTTCTTTATCAGTGTCTGTAACAGCACAACAAAAATATCTGAACAGAGATCATTATGATGTGGACTGCAAGGTACAAAATGGCCTGAAGAAAAAAGATTATGCTCTTTGAAGCCAACTTTTGATACTACCGAGAAAACTAGCTATAACAAGGAATAATGAGAACAATTATTTTGTGTGTCATTATAATTTTATATTAAACACGAGGTAATCATCACCACAGAATGACTCTGTCTAATTGAAAAAGACACGACAGCTACCGCCCATTTTTAACTCTTGATTGTTTTTACATTTTGGGAGGCTTCCTTTGCTATAAAAGAACACTCAAATAATGTGAGCTGTTTTATATCAGTTAGGCTGCTCATTAAGTTGAAGGTAGCAGAGAGAAACACTTGCACTTTTCCCTCCCTAGTGTCAAAACTTGTATACAGCCACTTCAGGATCCATAAACTACATTAATCAATCTTGCCTATTTTTCCCTCAAGTGTTGACAAACTGTTAATGAGGCAAGTCTCAGATCACTTTAAAGATATTTGAAATACCAGCCATAACCAAAACAGCGGATGAACAAGCCCAGTAACGGACGCAGCTAAGGCATCCCAAGTCCTCATTATGACTCCACCAGCTAAGGGCCAGGAGCTGCCTGCCACACAGCGAGGCAGCCAGGAAAGCCAGCACATCCGTGGCAGCGTACTACCTTCTACTCACTTGACTCTCCCATGATGTATTTTGGGATTTAAGAGATGAGCCATCCACTGTGCTTTTGAGTACTTTTTCCATGTTGTCAGTGATTGACAACAGCCTGCAGAAATGTAAATTGCAGAAAGGCTGTGGCTGCTAGGCCAGCATACAGGTGGTTCTGCAACAAAACAGATCAGCTCCTTCCTTTAGCAAAACCAGTCTTTGTGGATCACTACTTCATTATCAATTCCCACACAGGGAGTTTTTGAAGGGATTCCTCTTTGCTTTTTAGCCTAGGACAGAAGAAGTTCTTGTTCAGAAGCTCTTTGCAGGAGAAGAGAGGAAAAGCAGAACCAGCAGGGAAAATAATCCCACTGCTCAAACATAATCAGAAGTAAGAAAATACTTATGAGTAGAAATGACTGCAAGTCAAGGAAAACAGAAATGAGGAGTGGCAGCCTCTTCTTAACAGCCTAAAAGGAAGGAAAACATTTCTCTACTCTACCATTTGACTGAGCAGTCCATTGTCTCACTGTGAATAGCCTATTTATCACTAGCATTCATAAAACTAAAAAAAAAAAAAAAAAGGCAAACAAAAATAAATTGTTTTTCCTATGTCAAACTTATTTAATTATTGAAGTGTAGTCTGAATTGTTGATCTCCTAATGCTTTGGCAAGATTGGCAGCCAGTCTAGTCCAGTCAGGCTTGCCTGATTGTATGAGAAATAGAAAATAAAATTAGCATAGTCAAAGCCAGGGATAATCTAGGAAGTATTCACAATAATGAATAGAGTTGGGTGACAGGTCGCATTAGCTGGGAGTTTCTGATACCCAGCCATGTTACAATGTGTGTGGGCTAGTAAATATTCAGCAGAAGTTTAACAGGATATTTTAAGGAGATTTACAGTCAGCTCAGTCATGTCTATATCACCACCCTGACATGCTGTCTTTGCTTTTGCATATCTTACAAGAAACTTAATGTCAGCTTATATGGCAAGAAACCAGACAATCATATATACATAAGTCTGTGCATACTGAGACTTGTATGATGAAAATAGCTCGACTTGTCTCTTGGGAGCATAATACCCAATAGCCTAATTTCCAGACAACACTGCAGCCAATCCTACTACTGCATAAAAACTAGAAATATATATATTTTTTTAATCACAAAACTGGCTTAAAGCAAGCAGACAACTATTAATACAGTCTGGGATATCTGGGGATCTCCACCAAGGACAAAAATGGAACATATATTAACTATTTAATCAAGTGCAGACACACTCTATCCTTTCCAAGGAAATCTAAAATTTTAATGCAAGCTTTACATCACCACTAAACTGGTAAGTCTCACAGTGACATAGAATCACTCTGGTGTGCTGTCCCACTGTTCAGCTCCTTCTCTTCGTTCCTTGCCCTCCTGCACCAGTTTTGAAAAAAAAAGTAAAAGAAATAGGATGTTTGTTCATAGTTAGCAAAAAGTCACTTACTGCAGCAACAATAATTTTACCTAGGGTAACAAAGCGTATGAAGAGTTACAAAATCAGACTGATGATCGACAAGCTACTATAATGCTGCTTTGCAAGGCATCTTATCTGCCAAATCTGCTTTTTCCCTCCCTATCAGCTCACAGTAACACCAGCATTTGCCTCTTGCTATCACAGCTTTTAGACTATGGCATGATATAACTGTCTAATCGAGAAGCACACCTCTGTCAGCAGATGACTTTGCACCACATAATGGACTTCTAAGCAGAGAACTGAAAAAACTCAAGTGCAATATGTTTAAGCACTGTCAATTTTTTCTTTCACAGAAAGGGAAAGTAATCCCTTCTCACTTCTGATGAATTGTGAATAATGAAGGTTTAGTCAATGCCTACATTGCGCTCACAGGTGGTATTTTGACCGTTCTCATATAAACTTGTTCGTGTGCCAAGAGCAGTACAGCCAGGCTGCATGGAGTTCAGGATCTCAGCTGGATCTGCTGTATATGCTGAAACCACAGAGCCACAGCTGAACATTGTTACCGATCCCTAAATTAGCTGGTTTACTGCCTGTTTGGATGTTGTTTACACTAGCTGTAGTCACATTTCATTAGGGCACAGATACAACCTTTGAGAGAAGTAGCTGGGCAATGTTATGAATAGCTGATATTTATAAATTAACAGGAAGGCATAAGTATTTCACAATAACTCTTTACAGTACTTGTATGCAGGAGGAACTACAGTCATTTTCTAGGCTGAATAATATGACCTCATTTCCTCATTTTTATTATGTAGTATTGACGTTATTTGCATCAGATGAAATTTAAAACAACAGCACCACGATGCTGTCCTTTACTATTTCTTATATTTTGTAGTCACAGCGAACAGAACATTTGGTGAACATTTGAAAAACCTTCATTAGGGTGACACATACCAGATTCCAAGTGGAAAATTACTAGGGTGGGGTCTGCAATACTAATAATACAACTTTTAAATTCCAAAACGCAGAACTAAGATCAATGAAAAAGAAAGTATCCTCTTACCTTAGAGTCTCATTTTCTCCATGTTAACGCCAAACCTGTAACACCTAATCAAAACACATTCCTTTTTATTCCTGCTTTTCCTCATTTTCTACTAATGTATGTACTACTGCAACTTAAAAGGACATTTCCTGAAGTATCCTCTTTAGATATAGTTGACAAAATCAGCCAATTCAAAGGTAAATACAGATAGGAATAAATAAAACATTCACCATAAAGAGCAAAAATTACCTTTAGCAGGGTTTACTTTTATCCCTGACCTATACAGCATCTCCTCATTCTGCCAGTCCCCATTCCTGACAACAGTCTTGAGTCCATAGAAAACAATTAATGCAGCAGTGGAACAAAAAATCAAGTTCTTCACAAAGCGCTTCTGGGCTTTGACATAAAGGGCCCTGACACCTACTGTAACCAGCAGGCAGAAGCCCATACTAGGAACATACAGCACACGCTCTGCTATTACAAAGCCAACATAGAAAAATAGGTTTGTGGCAGGAACAAAGGGCACTATTAACAAAGACAGAGACAGAATGACAATGTTCTCAGTTGAAGGAAGCTGCAGTTTCTGCATTTCATGCTTTTTTATACCATTCTCTTCTTTTGAAGCAAAACTTGACTTCACCTCCAGTGTCTTGCACTCCATCTCTGAATGACAACTATGCCCATTAGCATTCTGCTTGCCGTTCATTACAGTTTTCCCATTGCATTCTCTCTCACTGCTGGAGCCCTTCAAGCTAGAGTAGGTAAGGAGGAGGAGTCCAGCATAGAAGGCCACAGTGTGTAGATTCCTCCAGTCACTGACTGCTTTCAGAAGAGGCACAGCATCCATAGACCAGTCAAAGCTGAGGGTATCTGGACACAGTAGCAGCCAGAGGTTCTTGGTTGGTAGGTAAAAGAAGGTGAGCGTACGTGTGAGAAAACTGTCTGAGTCAGCTGCTGGATTGTCAGAATTGGAAAAACTTGGGGGCTTGTTGCCCATCCAGTATAAGCGAACACCCAGCAGTGCAGTCCCCCAGGAGGTCAGTAAACCAATGCTGAAGAAGGTCAAATTCTTTCTCTAGAGAAAAAAAAAAAAAAAAAAATCAGCAGCAGAAATCAACACCAGGTGTTTAATTCCATAACTTATAAACAAAAAGAACTGAGAAATATCTGATACAACTTTTTTTTTGGTAATGGAAACAAACACTATTGATCTCGGTCTTTGACATCTGGATCACAAAATACTGGGGTACGTTGTTGACCATAGACTAAAAGGACAGACTTTCATTTAAGCTGTATCAAGCCTGTAGCAGAGTCTCAAGCCTTTAGAGATCTTCTGGTTGTCAGTCCTTGTTTAAGATTTAGTTGCACAACCCTTTGGAAACTCTATTTTAGTGGAATTTATGGAACCTTACAATGGTTCCTACATAACCTCCCAAATCCTTTCTTTGCTCCTGGCAGTGCCCAAAACACCAGCTTGCCTTAACTAGATTTAAAGTTTAAAGAATGTTCCAGTTCCCTTTTTCCTAATGAAAGTCTCTCCTAAGGTATGTCACCTGAGAACTAAATAACTTTCCAAGAAGGCAAAAGAGGAAAACAGACACAGATTCCATATTTAGGTCTTCCAGCTCCTGCCTGTTAACCACAGTGATCGCTTGGAGCCTTCAGATCTGCCTACTACTGGAAGCCCCACTTCATTTTGCACTTCACAGGCAAACAATACATTGGGCTTTTGTCTTCAAGCACACCATATTAAATAAGTCCTCTAAAACCTTTCACATCTTCATACTCATCTAAATAATATTATGTGAAGCATGCAGCTGCCTCTACCTACCCATGTCATCATGCTAGCATCTCGAAAAACTCCCACTTATTTATGGAAGAGCTCAATATTTGCCAGCTGGAGCTGCTTGTTGGGTTCCCCCCCCATTATATCTGAAAGCACTTATTTATTCAAATACTTGTAGAAACATACCACTTTTGTCTAAGTGAGAATCAGGAAGCAAGATTTTCTCATCCATTTCTCAGACTAATGAGCTTAAGTTCTGCTCTCAATTACATGGGCCCCCTAAATGAAAGCTGTTTTGGGTTACTCTCTCTTTGCAGAAGAATCAGTAAAAGTTAAAATATGTATATTTTTATATTCAATTTCTCAGATCGCCTTCTGTAAGAAAAGAAAAACTATTTGCCAAATAGCTCCAGACACAGTGTAAGGACTTTGATAATCTTTCCCCCATTATTACAAAGACTTATTTGTCAATCATTTCTCATTTTATTCGGTCTGTTTTTTCCATCTCACACTACAGATTCCTGGGACAGTTATCCAATGTTTCCTCAGTTACTCAGAAGTAGCACCTCACACTGGAATGTTTTATCTTATTTCTTTCAAACAGCTCATTTTTTTTCTTTGTGGAGGGACTCTCCCCTTGATTTCATGAAACAAAAATGATTGTGCTGCTCCATTTTAGGTCAGTTATTAATGGTTTTCTACCATCAGGTGACTGGTGTTTCAGTAACAAGATGTGGTCTAGTCATCATAATTTATCTGCTTATCTCATTAAGAAATTTATTCCTTTTCACATTTCTATAGAGTTCCTCCTTGTGAAGTTTAAAATTTTTAATGGCAGTTAGATGAATTCAATCAATTTTGAGGCAATAAGGAAGAATTCAATGGAGAGATTATTAGGGAACGAACAAATTTGTAATGAGAATATTTATATACTTATATCAGAACCACCTACAAAATGCTGGTACTTTTCATATATAAAGTAAAGCCTGAGTCCACACATTTCATTTCCGTATTAATTTCAGTTTAGTTCATTAGCTTTTATATACTTCTATATCCTAGAAAATTAAAAGTTTTGGTAATAAATCAATCAAAACCCACATCTGCACTTTATGATGAATATATTCCCTGGAAAGCCTACTGTAATCATCTACTTTTATTTGTAAGCTGAATAATACATTGTAACTCATCTCAGATACTGTTTCATTCCTGCCTGCCAGGACTTTTTAAAATGCATTTAATGTTATAAAGCTGTGTAAACTGGTTACCACCAAAACTCCCAACTAGGTTTATATTTGGAATAAAATGATTATTCAGATTTCATGGATTTGCATGTACACCCTCACAGTAAAACCTTATGTCCCTGGTTCAACTTGTCCTTTCATTTCCATCATAATTTGCCGTATGAAATTTTTTCTGCCCGCCCCTCTGGCTCAATCATTTTCAATCTTGTTTCCTTCAAATGTGCATATAAACAACTCTCAAATGTTAAATGTGACATTTCTTGCTCTTTTTATACATCCTTCTACACTCTCTTAAGAGAAGGCTGCGTAGAAAGAAAGAGGCTGGGGAGTGGAAGATGGGGGTTTTTTTGCTAATTTGTTTGTTTTAATCAGAAATTCAGAGCAAGTCTTTGCTGGAAGACTATATACCACTCAAAAGATCAAGACATCCCAAGTACTAAACAAGTGAAACTTGATTAACAGATGAGAAGTGAGCTTTCATGGATTGCTTAGACCACATAGTTATTTTGCACTTTTCAATTAAATGCTGAGAAAGATCACATTACAACGTTCTTCAACAAAACCATGCTAGAGTAGATATGCCATTCCTCATGGATAATAGCGAAACCTGCTAAAAAACTTTCAGATCTTTTTCATACCTTATAAAACAGTAACAATGAAAAGCTTGCCTCTTGCTCCTAGCCCTAGAAATGCCAACAACCTGTACCTCAGAGATAATCCATCCTCACTGCTGGAGTAACTATTTGCAGCCTCCCTTTTTAGCTTAAATTTAAGATCTGTAAGGTCCAGATACTCACATTTCTTGTTTCTACAAAGACCACAACAGATCTATATGTAATACTGTTTTTCATGCTTTTAACAAAACTTTTAAATTATTTTTCTTTAAACATTTTACACCAGTGTCAATTGAAATACCTAAGCATTCACTCATATTGCTGAGAAATATCCAAATAGATGGTTTTCCCACCAGTGTATTAATTTATCATGCCATAAAATACTAGTTCACTAGAGAAGGAGCTCTTGTGGATTCTTCAGCTTAATTGACTACAGGAGTAAACTGCAAATATCCTCTTGTTCCCTCAGACACAAATGGTTTGCATCCTTCCTCAGAAAATATTTCAGACATGAATTTTCTAAAAAGCCAGTAGTTTTACATCTTTTTGAAATTAACTACACGTTAACTACAGCTACGAATAACCTGTAATCGCACATAGACAGTGCTGGCTCAGAAGGGGAATGACAAACCTATTCCCCTTTTTTCTTCTCTCAATATCCATGACTTTTGCACAGCTTTTATCCCTCTGTATTTATATAGTCAGAGATAATTAGAAAGGTTTAGCTCACATTTTGGCTTTATTTTCTTCCAGGCTTTGTAGAGCAAACCAAAAGAAAAAACAAACAAACAAACAAAAAAAACCAAAAAACAAAAAACAATGGGTTACAGCAATTTATTAAAATAAAATAATATAATCATTTTTCCCATAGACATTAGTGTGCAAAGGAAGTGCTTTCAAAATGAACTCTGCTCAGACAAGCACTTTCACTAGCAACTCTTCCTCTGAGCCTCCTGACAGCCTGTGCTCCTCTGACTGCGTACATTTAGTGTAGCTCAGCAGCAGGAAGAGATCCTCTGTAATGCTTGGCAGAAAGGATTTGGATTACTGTACTCATGAGTCCTAATCCAGCCCATCTGCCATATGTTTTGACACCCCCATAAATCCTCTAACCTTCCATAAGTAGTCATTTTCATCTGGGGAAAAAATGAGCACTGATTTAGATCAGATTTAACATCTCTCCTGCCTGCTAACAGTCAAGTACCACCAGTGCAATTTTAGTGTCTGTGACTGCAGAAACCTTTTTCATCTCCCTACCAAAATCCATCTGCATGACCCACCCACATTGCACATTTCCCTTGCATTAAATCCTAATTCCTCACTCCATTATACTGCTCTTAAATAAGGCACTGCAGCAGATTTCTTGATTGGGCAGCCCCTGCCAAAGCTCAGTCATCACCTAAGCGGTATCCAAAGCATTTTCAAAAGACACTATTCTTTTAACCTCACCTTGTCCATTTCACAAAGCAGCATTAAATACAGCACATGGTCAAAACAGTCCAGATATCAAAATCACCAGGGTAAACCACACACAAAAAGTTATTTTTAGAACTCGGGAAATGCAGAAAAGAAAGTGGTTAAGTCACCACGCATTACTCACAGGAGTTTCTTTTATAGCTTAAAGCTCCTTGAAAATATATTGGCTTGAGAACTGGGGCTTTCCAAAGTAGAAAAACGCTGCCAAATCACTAGACTGACAGCATCTTGTTTCCATGATAGGTAGAGGTTCCTGGATCACAGCTCAACCAAGTTTGAGCTGAACTAGAGTTCAAAACGTATCCCCACCAGGAACGAAGCTATTTGCCACAACCCTTGCTAGGCTGTAGTACTGGCTGGAAGTGGCCCTTACCACTCCCTCTCCACCTGCCCAGTTTGCTCCTGTTCACGTGAGCTGCTGGCATGAAGGTCTGTTCTTCCTCAGAGCTGGAATTCTGGCTACAGCTTATCCAATATTGTGACCAACTGTACATATGAAATGACATTATTTTAGTGTTATGAACCCACACAACTTTCTCAACAAGGAAGTCAGTGCATTCATAAAACAGCTGAAGATTATGTGTACATATTTGTATTTAATTAGCAAGTAGCACAAGCTAAGCAGTCCTTATTGTTGTTGACTCGCCTTATTAAAATTTAAATTGAGTTATAAATACTGGCATTTTTAAATTGTCCAAAGCCTTCCTCTAAAATCTTTAATTCTTTAACATGAATCTTTAAATTAAAACAAAACAAAACACCGCACCTCTAACCTCTCAGATGAAAAAATTGTTAAAAGGACTACAGGGGAAAAGATAAATTGCATTAAGAGTAGAAACTGTATGAACGACTGGAGGCAGTACAAGAGCAGAAGGGACTACCTTAGCTTGATAAATCTGTGAGCATGATCAGTTCAATAGAGAAGGCTCTCTCAGAGGATAAGCCTACACAG